CCCCAAGCACCTGCTTGAGAAGCTGGTGCCTGGAGCCGGCCCTGATAATAAAGGCACCTCAACTTTTCCTCATTTATGGAGGACAGTCTTATAATATGCATCCAGATATCCTCCAATCACACAAGCTGAAAATTGTTCCACTTTACTGCAGTTCTGTAACCATATGGGAACCAATCCTGTCTGTGTTCTGTGCACATCTAAAATTCCTGCTGAATGACCTGCCCTGGGAGCAAGTTACCAGTGACCCGGGGCTGGGGTGGAAGGAGGGTGCAGGTGGAGGGGGCAGAGCCCAGGGCTGGGATGGCATGGGGTGTGGGGGAAGGGGGAGAGCCCAGTGCTGGGGCGGCAGGGGGTGCAGGTGTGTGGGGGGAAGAGCCCAGGGCTGGGGCGGCAGGAGGTGCAGGGGGGAGCCCAGGGCTGGGGTGGGGGCAGCCAAAATTTTTTTTTGCTTGGGACGGCAAAAAACCTAGAGCTGGCCCTGAGGGGTGGTAACCTACTCACAGTTCTTACCTGTTTCCTGCAAATTGTTCACACCCAGCCTGCTTTTTCATATGACTCCTATAAACTGGAGCAAAGCTCTGGAAGATTGTGTCTCCCAGCCCTTTGTCTGTTGCACACCTTTTGCTCAAAGGATGTAGAACATACACACTCTGTAGTATGTAAGTAACTGGAACATGATTTTCTCATAAGAATATTTATATATACAAAGTGGGCTTTATACCTCTGTCACTAAGACTTTCTTGTTAGATGGGTGAGTGGGAATCCTCCTTAATGCCCATCTGCCTCACTTTATTTTTTATTCTATCACATCTTTGTAAAGAGAATAAAATCCTTGAACCCTTAAGCAAATGTTACATATTTTTGTAACCTTTCAACAAGACTCGTCAAAATGAAAATATGGGCATGTTTGATCCTGTATCTTAAGGACAGTACTGTACATAAGAGAGACTTATTTAACTTTCAGAAGGGATTTTTTTCCTTCTGTCATGTCACATGCCTATATTTTTAGCTAACAGTCATTTAAATATAGCTTCTATTCTGAATTACTTTTTTGAAATGGGATTGGCAGCCACATACATGCCTGTGAACCTCCAATCACTTCCAGTTGCCCCTGGAAAGGATAGAATGGAAGTCTGAACTAAAACAGGATTTTTGTTGCGGAGAAAGGGAATGAGGATGGGGGTTGGGAAAATGAATTCTGTGTGTTAAACTTTTACCATTTTGGGCCTGACCCAGGCATCTGGATTCCCAAGTTATCTGCCCACGAGGCAAAATTACATGAATGGATTTGAAGTTCTGCTTCAGCTGAACAAGGCACTCACTTATGTAAATAACTGGCTTAATTCTAATGTGAATATTGTGATATTAAGGAAGGATATTAAGGACCAATCTTATTTAATCTTTTTATTACTGACTTTGGCACAAAAAGTGGGAGTGTGCTAATAAAGTTTGTGGATGACACAAAGTTGAAGGACCGGGATATCATACAAGAAGATCTGGATGACCTTGTAAACTGGAGTAATAGTAATAGGATGAAATTTAATAGTGAAAAGTGCAAGGTCATCCATTTAGGGATTAATAACAAGAATTTTAGTTATAAGCTCGGGACTCATCAGTTGGAAGTAACAGAGGAGGAGAAGGACCTCGGAGTATTGGTTGATCACAGGTTGACTATGAGCAGCCAATGTGATATGGCCACGAAAAAAGCTAATGAGGTCTTGGGATGCATCAGGCGAGGTATTTCCAGTAGAGATAAGGAGGTGTTAGTACTGTTATACAAGGCACTGGTGAGACCTCGTCTGGAATACCGTGTGCAGTTCTGGTCTCCCATGTTTAAGAAGGATGAATTCAAACTGGAACAGGTACAGAGAAGGGCTACTAGGATGATCCAAGGAATGGAAAACCTGTCTTATGAAAGGAGACTCAAAGAGCTTGGCTTGTTTAGCCTAGCCAAAAGAAGGCTGAGGGGAGATATGATTGCTCTCTATAAATATATCAGAGGGATAAATACCAGGGAGGGAGAGGAATTATTTAAGCTTAGTACCAATGTGGACACAAAAACAAATGGATATAAACTGGCCATCAGGAAGTTTAGACTTGAAATTAGATGAAAGTTTCTAACCATCAGAGGAGTGAAGTTCTGGAACAGCCTTCCAAGGGGAGCAGTGGGGGCAAAAGACATATCTGGCTTCAAAACTAAGCTTGATAAGTTTATGGAGGGGATGATATGCTGGAATAGCCTAATTTTGGCAATTAATTGATCTTTGACTATTAGCAGTAAATATGCCCAATGGCCTGTGATGGGATGTTAGATGGGGTGGGATCTGAGTTACTACAGAAAATTCTTTCCTGGGTGTCTGGCTGGTGAGTCTTGCCCACATGCTCAGGGTTTAGCTGATCGCCATTTTTGGGGTCAGGAAGGAATTTTCCTCCAGGGCAGATTGGCAGAGGCCCTGAGGGTTTTTCGCCTTCCTCTGCAGCGTGGGGCACAGGTCACTTGCTGGAGGATTCTCTGCACCTTGAAGTCTTTAAACCATGATTTGAGGACTTCAGTAGCTCAGACATAGGTTAGGGGTTTATTACAGGAGTGGGTGGGTGAGATGCTGTGGCCTGCGTCGTGCAGGAGGTCAGACTAGACGATCATAATGGTCCCTTCTGACCTTAAAGTCTATGACTCTATGATTTCTCCTGTGTAATAGAAACACAGGAATTGCCATACTGGTGCAGACCCAACATCCATCTAGTCCAGTAGCCTGTCTCTGACAGTGGCCAGTGCCAAATGCTTCAGAGGAAGGTGTAAGATCCCTGCATTAGGCAGATAGTCTGTCCCCTCACATTAGGTCTCATCATCCTGATTTCCATTAGAGATTATCTTAAACCCTGAAGCATGAGATTTAATATCTCTTCTACAAAAAATTTGTTACTAATTATGATCATTCTGGATGTTCTTGATATCCCTATAAATGTCTAATCCCTTGTTGAACCATGCAAGTTCTTAGCTTCAAAAATTTCCTGTGGCAGTGAGTTCCACACTCTAATTATGCATTGTGTGAAAAAGTATTTTCTTTTATCAGGTTTGAATTTGAATTGAAAGCACCAAGCTACAGAACTATAGCACTAAAGGCCACCCGGTCAGACTATGGCACTGAATTGTACACATTTTTAATTTTAGTTACAACATCCTGAAAATTAATCCTGGATCAAACCAGTGGGCTGCCTAATCTAATATCCTATCTCTCATAATGGTCAGTACCAGATGCTTCAGAGGGAGGTGCAAAAAACCAAGTGGATAACTTGGAATAATCTGCACTAGGTGGAAATTTCTTCCTTACCCCTATCAGATTACGATTTATATGAAGCATGAATTTATATCCCTTCTGTGAAACAATGAGGGTTGGTTTTTGTTTTGTTTTTTATCCTACTAATTAGAAGGACATTTGAGCCTGTACTGTTCTTCAGATATCATGTGGTTGGGCTTTTCTCCTCTACTCTTGCTCCAGACTCTAGAAGGAATTTTTCAAACTGTTTCTTGTGTTTCTTCAGTCTTGGTGAGCACTAGGGGTATGGCTGATTGAGACTCTCATAGGTTCAGAGGTCAAGTGATTCTTCAAAACATCCCTTTCTTGTAAATCATTGTGTGTGTGAAATAATACTGCAAGGAACAGAGCTGTAGTTTAGTGAAAGCACATGTTCAGTGGCCCTGGAGAGCTTTTATTTTAAATAAACATGCTAAGGGCTCATAGTTAACTTCACTTTTGCATCTGCTGAATATTTGAAAAATCTGTGCTAGATGCTCAGCCCCTCCTTAAATTATTGATAGCATTTGATGTTTTAATTAACATTGCTATACATTTTCCTGGCATCAGTTAACTTAGCAGCACTTCCACCTGTGTAGAATGTTGCTGGTTTAGAACTCAGAAGTTACATCTAATTTATTTTGTTTATTTTTCTTGCACTTCAGGCTTTGTCTAAGTCTAGCTCCCCTGCTAGTTGTGTATGGGAACCAGTCATGAAGCAGAATTTTGCCTTTGACAACATCGGCTACGAGGGGAACGCTGAAAATGTGCCCTCTCTGCTTCCTCAAACGAGCACCGTCACAGTCAGTATTTTGGGTATGACTTGCCAGTCTTGTGTGCAGTCGATAGAGGGCAGAATTTCTAAGGTGAAGGGCATTGTGAGCATCAAGATCTCCCTTGAGCAGAGCAATGCTGTAATAAAATATATACAGTCAGAAATAGGTCTCCAAGAGATTTGCCAGGAAATTGGAGAAATGGGCTTTGATGCCAACATTGCAGAAGGAAGAACTACACCATCATCTGTAAGATCGACGTCCTTGGGAGAAGCACTAATGAAGCTGCGGGTAGAAGGTATGACATGCCAATCTTGTGTCAACATCATCGAAGGAAAGATTGGAAAACTACATGGCGTGCTGAGAATCAAAGTCTCCCTCAGTAACCAAGAAGCAGTCATTGCTTACCAGCCTTACATCATTCAACCTGAAGACCTCAAAAACCACATAGATAACCTGGGGTATGAAAGCACGATTAAGAGCAAGCTAGCCCCATTAAAGCTTGGTATGATTGATCTAGAACGCTTGCAGACTACAAGCACAAAGAAAACTCCAGCCAGCCTGAACAATAGCAATGTGGAGCCAGTGGTGGGCAAAATGAATAGTACAACAACTATGACACTGGGAGTAGAAGGGATGCACTGCAAGTCTTGTGTCAAAAACATCGAAGGAAATATATCAGGTCTTCCAGGTGTACACAGTATTAAAGTGTCATTGGAACATAAAAATGCTGTTGTGCAATTTAACCCAAACGTAATTACCCCAGTATCTTTGCAACAAACCATTGAGGCCCTTCCACCTGGTAACTTTAAAGTATCCCTCCCTAATGGAGTGGAAGCAAATAACGGAGAGCTTTTATCAAAGGCAGCGTTTTCATCACCTCAGTTTCGTAGCACGTCCTCTGGGGATCAGCTGACAAGCACATCTGTACTCAGTATTGATGGAATGACCTGTGGATCCTGTGTACAGTCCATAGAAGGCACAATGTCCCAAAGGAAAGGGGTACAACATATATCAGTTTCGTTAGCTGAAAGGACTGGAACCATACACTACAATTCAGCTGTAACTAATTCAGAAGAGCTAAGAGGTGCTATAGAAGACATGGGATTTGATGCTTCCATTCTCACAGGTACTTATGTTTTCTATAATTAAGCGAGGAGAAAGTAAAAAAAAAATTACTTTTAAAATTGATAGATGGGTTGTGTGTGTGTGTGTGTATTTGGTTTTTTGATTGTTTTGTTTTTAAGGCTAGAAGTGACCATTATTATCTGGCCTGCCCTGTATAATACAGGCCATAGAATTTCACCCTGAAAAATTATTTATTTCCACATTCAAGTGAGTGTGTTATTGGGCAAAAGAGTTGTTTTAAGTTACGGTATGCAGTTAAAAGTCTAACCAGTAATATAGTGGCTTTTAAATAGCAGAGAACCTAGAAAACACATGAGCTTCACTCCACTGAAGCAGGTCTCTACTCTTCTCCCCTCCACCCACCAAGCTGGTGTGAGCATAAATAATATACACAGAGAACAAACACTTTAATAATAAAAGCAACTATTTCCCTAACTGGAACTACTGCCTGGTATCTCAAGGCACGTCCACACTGCAGCTGGAGGTATGATTAGTAGCTGGTGTAGATGTACTTGCGCTAGCTGTACTCTAGTAGCTTGCTAAAAATAGAAGTGAAGACATAGGCTGCGCCAGCCAGCTAGAGTAAAGTCAGCGCATATATGTCTATATAAGCTGCAGATCACACTCTCAGCTGCAGTGCAGATGTATCCTTAGTAGATCTTCTGTACCTCACCTGTAGAATGGTTATGCCAAGGGCCTAATCCTGCTTCCAGTGACTCAATGTCTAAACTCCTATTGTCAAGGGCGCTGGAACAATTATTATAGTGGGGGTGCTGAGAGCCATTAAATCAAATTGTAAACCCTGTATATAATGGAATCCACTTCAATCCAGGGGGTGCAGCTTTCCCCCCCGCACCCCTAGTTCCAGCACTTATGTTCAATGGGAGAAGTATAATATATAAATGTATAAAACAAGTGCACTGTGTTGAGCACATGAGTTTAATGGTTAAGATGTTGCTATAGTGCATAATCTCATTTACTTGGTGAATTTCAAAAACAAGAATAATAGTAGTGAAAAGCTATTGCTTTACTCAGCATATAATTTTGACAGGTTTCCACACCCCTTTTTGCTTTGTCCCATTCCTAGGTCTTATTTTTAGTACATGGTTTATTCAGCTTTGTTTAGCAAATGAACAGATATACCAAAGTATTAGTGATAGAGAGAGAGAAACTATAGCTATAGAGCTCGTTACATACTAAAAGGCATAGTCACCTTTCAGAGATGACCAAGAATTTTAAACCACCAAGAAAAGAAACAGAGAGAAGAGAGAAGCATTTCATGCCACAGATTGGTGCTGCCCAAATAGCAGAAACCCCTGTTCTGGGAGCTTGAGACAAAACCACACCTGCTTGGCTGAACCCATCAGAAGGTATTCTTTAACCAAGGGGCCTCTTGGGGAATCACACTGAAATTATGATGCATTTTAACATTCTGAATCCACTTTATGGATTTATTCATAGATATTTAATTACTCCATATTTTCCCAAGTCACTGTGAACACAGCACTTTATTTATTACAGCATATTAAAATATAAATTAGAGTTAAAATACCAAACAAAAGGAGTATACCTGTAGATTTATAAGAACTATGTAAATTTAGCAGTTAGGCTTATATCTGTTGAATTCTGAACCAGAAATAAAATTTCCTCTTTCTACATAATGGCTTAACGTGTATTAGAAGTCTCTTAAATTTTGTAAAGTTTTTGAAGGAGAGATAAATTTAACAAAAAAATAGCAAAACATAGAACACACAGAGACACAGCACCATTCACCCCTGTCCTACTGTTCAAAACCATTAGATATACATTGACACCAACTTGTAGGCTATCTTCTAATCACTGTAAGTATAATACAAACTAGTTTTATATTATTTTATGTCACCCACTTTCACACGATTCACACTTGTTTTTTCAGCATTATTTTATACAAAACACACCCAACCTACCTTAAAAGAAATCTAACAATGTAAAATTGGTTAATACACCTCATTTAGACAAAATACAGAATTTGTTTAAACTATTTTATGTAAAAGAGTTAATTATAATCTGTACCAGAGATATGAACACTCTTTTCCCACAGACACAGCACCAACATCCACCCTCCTTTTCTCTTTCTGAAAACAATTATGCATACATTCAAAGCAAATTGTATACTATTTTATAGATAAACTACCTTAAGAATATATTCAGTTTATTTTTGCTGTGTAGATAAGGCTCTTACACATGAGTTATACTGGTTTTTCAGCATTATTCTATACAATATACACAGAGCCTAAATTAAAAGAAATCTAATGGTATAAAATTGGTTAATATACCCAACTATGAGACAAAATGCAGGCTAGTTTAAACTATTTTATGTAAAAAGAATTGATAACACTTTTTACTACTTTTTCCACAAACTCTGCCCTTGTTGTTAAGGTCATCCTGCTCTTTCAGAATTTAATGTATGGAATTAGACTGAACAACTGATTAAACTTTGATTTAATAAATAAAATAAAACCAGGAATGGGGTATTAGGGAAAACTGTGTTTTAGTATTTGAGGGGCAGTAGATAGTATACTTTAAGGCCATTTTGTTTGTACTTTAAATGATTTTAGCTATAAATATTTTGCATTATTAATTTGTGACTCATTTAGCAAAATAAAAAAAGCTAAAAACCACAAAATAACCCAGACTTTTAAAGGTAACATGAACATCTGGATTTTTACGATATTTTAACAAACTGGCTGGGTGGGGGTAGGAGAGAGCTTAAGCTTATAGCAGATTTATTATTCATTTCCACCTAGACTTTTTTGTTACCTTTGATTTAAGGTTGCTAGGCTGAAAATCCACATCAACACAACCTGTAAAAAGCAGGGAAATAAGCAATAAAGTCATTCAGCACTCTGTCTACACTCCTTCCATCAGTTCCTCTTCCCAATCGCAGCTCACCCCCCACAGCCCAACATATCTCCGCCCTCCTCCCCAGTACCCCTTGGGCCGCCTGCAAGCCTCCACCCTCTTGCTTCCATCAGCTCAGAGGGCCTGAACTATTTTTCCCCATTGCAACCCCAGGATAGGGGCCCCCACTCTTTCCACCTCACTTCCACCATGTTCTCCCACTTACAGCTGAGTGTAAGACAGTGGCAAAAAATAGCCAGTTAGAAGGTGACATCAATAGTTCAAGCATCTAAGATTGTCTGTGGGTAGATCTTGATGTGGGTGCAGAATCCTCCCAGACCCAGATAAATGGGGCAGCTCCTTCAGCAGCTCCTTGGCTTAGTGTAGAGAACTGGTCTATGGATCTGGCTGGGGTTGGGGATTCTCCATCTGGGTATTCTACAGAGGTGGCCTACTCAGTGCCCGACAAGGGGAGGAATTGATCCCACTGGGCCTGATCCTGATGGATGCTAAGTATTGACAATATCCTTGACAAAAGTGTGACTTGTGAGTGCTCAGTACCTCTCAGGATCAAGTACACCAGTGTACACCAGAGTTCGCTGCTCAATTTATGGAGCAGCATTTGGATTACCTGCTGAGAAATGCTCTCGTGTTCTAATCCTGGTTAGAGATCAGGTGCTGAGCTGGAGTCCTGAAGGAAAGGAGATGAGGACAGTATGAACATGTAACTGGGCTTCATTCTCTAATGCTTTAACTGCCATGAAGTCACCCACAGGGTAGATATTAATATCAACAAACAGACAGATAGAAGGGGATCATTCGCTGATTGAAGGTGGATTGCCACTAAATAAAGCAAAATGGTCATGCAGTGTTGGTAATCTGCCCAAAAGTAACAAGTTACTTGTGGCTAAGGAAGCCAAGATCACAGGGTAGTTAGTCACCCTGTCATTTGAAAAACCTTGGATGTTTCTGTTGTTAAATGTGTTTCCAGTTTGCTGCTTTGAAACATTTTATCATAGTCTGTTAACCCATGTTAATTCTGTTTATGGTGTGTTTATTCAAGATACCACCACTTGGAAATATATGGATCAACCTCTTTTCAGGGATGCTGCGATTCAGCCTAATGCTTGGGAGTCAGCTTCCCAGAGAACAGAAAATGTTTCTGAATCGTCTCATCAAGGCTACATGTCTGATGTCCAGCCAAAGAATTCTTACCTCAGTAGTCCAAAGCCACCCAATGTAGCGACAACAGAAAAGTGCTTTATGCAGATCACAGGCATGACCTGCGCATCATGTGTGTCAAACATTGAAAGAAATCTGCAAAAAGAAG